TCAGGGTGAAGAAGCTCTCTTCCTGGTCCTCACCCTACTCGCAGAAGAATCTCCGCGAGCGAGTGATCTGCAGGCAGGCAGGCAGTCCCAGGCAATCTGAGAGTGAGTGGTGCTGGGCGGTGGGAGTGAGCAATGTCTGTCGGCGGTTTAACAAAGTTACTCAAACACCCATCATGCAAGCACACACATCTTTATTGAAAGCAAAGTATGTTTCCAGAAGGGAGTAGGGAGGGCTGTTAAAAGCAAAGGGTGTCTCTAGAAGAATGGAGACAGGTCTTTCTCCACAGAATAGGAAAAGATGCCAAACTGCCTACTTACTGGTTTTTATACTTCCTGAAAGAGGTGTTCTTAAGATGGGGCTGAGTCAGGGTCCTGTGACCCTGATTAAATGGCCAGACTCACAGGTGGTTGCGGGCAGTTACAGGTGTTAGCTCATTAACCTCCTTAAACATTCTGTGGTCTGTGGTTGTTCTGCTTAATTTTAATTGGCCAAATCTCACAGGTGGTTGAGAGCCATTACAGGTGTTAGCTCATTAACCTTCTTAAATATTCCTCCTCTCTCCTTTTCCTCCTGGGGCCTGCCCCCAGGGCAGCCCTCCTGTCCTACCTTCCAGCCTAACAAGAATGCTTGAGAAGCAAAGAGGATGAGACTTTATCTCATGTACTTTGGATGTGTTATCAAGAAACCGGTCCCTCTCCTGCTTAGTGTCTTAGGCTGGGTCTCTAAAGAAGCAAAACCAACGAAGCTTTTAAATTTTTTTTAAATGCATTTTATTGAAATATAATTTGTGCACAGTGAAATACACAAAACTAAAGGGACATGGGTCAACGCTGTTTTTTTGTCAGTGTTCCCTCCCCTCCCCTCCCACCCCTGGGAACCAACAAAGAAAGTTTCCCTTCATATATAAACCTTTCCTTGACCCTTCACAACAACGAACTAATGTTGTATTTGTCCTTCTGTGATTGACTTACGTCACTTAGCATAATCTCCTCCAAGTTCATCCATATTATATGGTGTTTTGCAGACTCTACATTATTCTTTAGTGCTGCATAGCATTCCATTATATGTATGTACCATAGTTTGGTCATCCACTCTTCCACTATAAATCTTAGAGCTAAGTCCCTTGCCAGATATGTAATTATCAGCAAATATAAATTTGTTGCTGTTATTTTTGTTATGTGCTTTTTCATGGTGTCGATTTC